GATGATCAAGAGTCCTCAGAGAGGAGCGTAAAGGCCTTCATACTTGGTTCTAGAAGAACAGAAAAGCCTTTGAACTGCAAAACAGAGCAGATTGCTACCAGCCTGCGCTGTCAGAAGCCTGGGAGTGGGGCAGACCTAGCTCCAGAGAAGTAACTAGAGGCTGGACTCACCCAGGTGGGGCCCCGGGTAGAAGGAACCAGGGCGAGGGTGGAAGCGTTTCACAGAGAATCTTGTTGGCAGATGGGCCCTGGGGACTGAGGAAGGGAGGAGGCAAAGATGACACGAGGACTCAGACTCATCAGGCTAGTGGGACTTTCTCTCCTGTGCAGCTTGGACAGATGCCGGGAATGCAGGCCATATTCACCTGAGTCATCCCCATAAGGATATATACGCTTCACTGTTGGCCAATTTGATTGGCTGATGACTCAGAAAAAAGAAACTATTCAATGGGAAGGAAAAACTGGGATGAGGAAAAGGACAAATGGAAGAAGGGGAAAACATATTGAGGTATATACGCAGAATAGTTTGGATAATTGTTGATTTCTGCTGGTCTTTTGAAGGGAGCAGTTAATGCTTAAAATTTTTTTTACTCTGATTTTTTTTCTCTTTCAAATTTCTCATAACTTCTTTGTTATTGCTTTGAATTTTTCTTTAAATGAATCTTACACATTTATATCTGGTAATCTGAACAATTTAAAGAGAATATGCATTACAGCAAACATTGTTGAATTCCTATTACTTTGTTAGTGAAATCTTGCATCGTTTCTAATTTTTTTCTATCACTATTTTGTATTCTTTAAAAATAAAAAAATACAGATAAAATGGGGAACTGATTTATCTCATAGAAAATGAAGCCTTGAGCTTAAAAAGGCTTTTGTCCATTTGTTCCAGCCCCAGATGTCATCTCTTCTTCCTTCTTTCGCCCTTCCTGCCTCTCCTGCCACAGAAGAGAACAGACAAGCCACCCCTGCCGGCGCCCGCCACACTTCCCTCTGCCTCTGCCCCGCTCGCCCCGTCTGCTCTCTCCTTGCTGTCTGACCCACACCCCAGAGCTTCCCCTTAGACTTCTTCCATCTGTGCTCTTACCTGGAGATAGCTGAAAAAATCAGGCCTGGGTCTGACCAGTGGCAACTTGCTACCTAATTGGCCTGAATTTGTCAGAATGCTGCCAGGGGTGCTGCAGAACGTGGTCCCGCCCACCCAAAGACAAAAAAAACAGTGAATGGCCCAGGGTTTAAAGGCCCTAGCTCGAGGGTCAGGATGACAGAGTGGCCTTGAGTAGGTCTTGTGCCCTTCCTGATCTCAAGCCAAGACATGAGGTCTTGGCTCAGACTTCATGTCATAAAACAGGAATGCTAACAGCACCCCTCTCCCACCCCACACTGTGAGTCTGAGCACCCCAGGACCAGATTATGATTTTGGATAGAACCAGACTGTAAGGTATCAATACGAAACATTGCCTGCTTCCTTTGGCAGCTTGTCTAAAATGGCCCCGGGCAGGGGAAGGGCATTCAGACAGGCTGAGCTGGGGCTGATCTCCCAGCACTAGTACTAGTGGTGATCTACATGATTCCCCAAAGCTTCGTAATGTGTCACCACCACCTAGTCCCTTTTTGGGAAGCAGTTAATAAAGAGGATCAGAGACTTCTGGAAGCTCAAGGTGCTTCCTCTGGTCCTAACCAGCTTCTGTGCTCAGTGACAGTGTTCACAATCCATGTCGGGAGGAACCTGACCCCTCCATGAATCCTTTCTCCTGTCCTCTAAAAATGAGAAATTGAGATCCGGAGTCTACATGATTTGCCCAATGTCATGGTTAAGGCGATGCCAAGGCAGGATGCTTTCCTGAATCCCAGAGGATTTCTCTTGAAGGCTCAGAACCCTAAGATTAGCAGACTATGAGAACAGACTTGAGTCTGGATCCCAGTTGTTCCACTGACAAGGCTTAGCTTTGGGCCGGTTAATCTCTCTCAGAATCAATTGCGTTCACATGTGAAATGAATGTCATTGTAATATAGGAAACAGAATGCGTTTAATAGTTATAGTATTGTAGTCGTCATCTGCCTATGCAAGAAAATGAGCCTCAGAGAAACGGGGTTTGGTTGGAGTTATCCCAGACTCCAGAATAACCCTTCTTCCTGCTTGCAAGCCCTGTTCTTCCACCGAAGTGACTTAGGTTGAGGCGTGTTGTCTTGGTTCTCCATAATGATTCCAGACCTGGCCTCCTTTTATTTAGTTTTAAAAAGTATTTACTTCTTATGATAAATGTGGGACATGGATGACAATGAAATGAATACTTCACCCCACCATTCGGTGACAGAGCTCCTTCGCTCTAACCCCATTCGCTGGGAGCCAATCATCTGAGCGTTACATTTGTCTGTATCTTTATTACCTTTACCAGTTATGTCTGTAAATAACATATTGTTTAATTTTACTTGTCTTTAACCCTAACATAAATGGAATCATACTGCACAAGCCTTTTCAGTTTGCTTTATTGCTCAAATTATTTTTGTACTTTGTATAACCTCATGCAGTTCTCACTAATTCACCCTGTTGATGAACAATTTTCTATTACAAGCAGTGTTTTAATTAAACTTCACACTCATGACCTTCGTATGCATAGTTAGGAACATTTGGTCTTTTATGACCAATGCTGGGTCCTAGGCATACGTGTCGCTGAATTTGTTAGATAAAAAAACTGTTTCCAAAATGGCTGCACCTTATACTTCTCTTGTCAGTATAGAGAAATTTCAAGTTTTCTGTAAGGTTGGATTTTTCCATTTGCTGTCTGTTGATGTAGTCATGAGCTGGTTTCCACGTCCACTGTACAGGTGGAAGTGGCCTGCGTGCTCCTTGTGGTGTGCTCCTGTTCATGTGCCGGGGTCATGTGTGCTCTCCTGCCACTCATGCGTCGTCTTCCGCGACTAGCTGTCATCAGTCCCCATCCTTGCACGGTCTTGGCAGGTCAGCCAGAGTTGCAGGTGCTCGTGGCAGGCCTGAAGCACTAGGCTACTACACTGCACACACAGGGCCAAAGTATCCAGGCTGGAAAGGCAGACTCTCATTTTCACCATGTTGAACAGACTACAGTAAAAAGAAGAAAGACAGGTGTCTGTAAAAAGAAAAAGCAGAAGTGTAACTCTCGCCCATGTCTTTTTCTCTGGGGAAATAAAAAGTTCCCAGCCCAGGTGCTGAGCAGAGTTGTTTTTGGAGAGAAAAGTCAAGTGGCCACAGGGTGCCCTTCACAACAGCTCACAAGCAGCAGCTGACTATTTTCATCCCGTACAATACAGCAGCCTTCTCCGATCCTGCTGACATTAAATGTGCCTTTGCTGTGTTGTGCTACTTGTTTCTTCCAGCTAAAATTTATGGAAGAGGAGAGGTGGCGGTTTAGAGCCTTTTAGAGATACACTGCAAGAAAATTGAGCTGCGTGGTTGGGGAAAATAAATGACTCTGGGGGACAAGCACTTGCATTTTTCTTGTCAAGACGGTTTGCTGGGCTGGCCGTGCCAGCGCCTCGGTCTAGCAGGCAGGCCCCACCCTTCAGTGCCTCTGCAGATCCTGCTCCTGAACATCTGGTGGAACCGGAAATTCAAATGCAGCGCACGAATGTGACCTCGAGAAGTACAGAACTTCTGTTCAAAGAAGAGACCAGGAAAAGAAGAAATTCATCTACAATTTCCAGCTCCCCCGCTGTTACCGTACCTCTCCTCTTCCTCTCTCCTTTCCTTTTCCTCTTCTAGCTCACCTCTTCTGTCTGTTCCTCTTTCCCTTTCTTCTTCAGCCAAGCCTCGGGTCTGCGACAGGAGAGCTAACTAGAAGCCTTCTTTCTGCCCCAGTGCTGTATATTTTTCAGGCCTAGAAATAGAATGGTCTCCCTGATAAGTGGGAACAATGTGTGCTTTACTTCCTAAAGGTGAGTAGGGTGCTCCTGCTCGCTTTGTGGAAAGGTGTCTAGTTACGAAATAAGCCAACAAACAAACCAAAAACAATACAACTGCCCCTCTTGGGTTCTTTCTCCTTGACCCCAAACTGCCTTCTGCTCTCCAAATGACAGCTAAGTCAGTGCTTTTCAGAGCAGGTGGGAGGAGGTGGGAATTTGTCCAGAAGAGAAGTAGACTTCTCAGGACGGGTCCAGCTGCTGAAGGCATGGCTCCCTGTCCACCTCAGCTACCTGTCTCTGTGTGGTGACTCTGTGTCCAGCTGTCACTGGGCCTGAGGAAAGGATGAGGTGACAGTGGACGAGGGTACAAGGACCCTGTCAGGGAAGGGAGCAGCACTCTGCTACCAGGGAGACTTGTCCTTGATCTTGGAGCTGTGTTGTGAGGAAATTGTTAGCTCTGTGCCCGGCCGACTGTTGAGTGCATCTTGAGCTCGTTCGTTCCAGGGCATTAGGCTCTCGGCAGGGTGGCTCCTGGCTCGGCCCTGCTGTAGGCAGGCCGCAGAGCTGCGATGGAGCCCGCTGCCCTTCCCCACAACACATCTCAGCCTCCAAATGTATTTGCATGCAAAATGTCCATCCCATTTAAACGGAGGAAAAGAGACTCACTGAGTAAAATATTTCTACTCTCTCCTGCCACCCTGATCACTCCCATAAAATTCCATTTTCATATAGTGGTTCTATGAGTGGAAAAAGCTTATCCATGATTTCATGCAAATAAGCAGAAATTCCCTAACAGTCACTCAGGTGAAAATGATTGTTTAACTTTCCCCCAAGCTAAGGAAGATGTAAATGACAGCTCAACGTCTACTGAAAGCAAAGACTGTGCTTGGAACTTACAGGAAGTAGTGACCAGCCCGAAGCTTGTCCCAACCTGATTATATATATATAAAAAAAAAGCAGCTGGAAAGAAATTTGCATGTCTAATCGGTTTTACTAGTAGAGTGTACACAGCGTGGAGTAATCTGCCAAGCTGGCTGGTTACCCGGATCACATGATTACGCAGCAACGTGAAACTTGATGATGTGCTCCAGCGAGTTTTACTTCTCTCTAGTGCAGGGGAGTTTGCTGCGCCAGAAGGCTCAGGAGTCTGACTGCAGAGACTGGAGCTCTGGAGGCCGGAGCCTTGCCATGCTGCTCGCTGCGAGGGTCACGAGCAGCTGACGTCACCACGGACTCGTGCCCCGTGTCTCTTCCCAGAAAGAATGGACAAGCTTAACAAGATAACTGTCCCAGCCAGTCAGAAGTTGAGGTAAGATTTTCCAGTCTTATGTTTATCTTTCCTGTTTTCCTCTCCAGTGCTCTTACGGCATCTCAGTGAAACTATGGAATAGTCGGCCGGTGCAAAGGCTGCGGGAGGCATTTGCTGTGGGGAAGTAGACTTGGGTTTTTTTAAAAAATGTGTAGGAACAAGTGGGCCAGCCTGAGATGGCTTTGGCCAGTGATAGAATGAAGTTCTAGAAAGGTAATAAAATGTGCAAACCTAGGGCTCAGACTACCAGAGTCAGTTTTCAGAGTCTGATTACCATAACTTTTGTTAAAGAACAGTTTGTCTATATTGAGTCTGCACCCATTTCATTATGGATTACTACTGTTTTTTGGGGTTTGTTGTTTTTTTTTTTTTTGTACTGGGACTCAAACTCAAGACCTTGAGCAGGTGTTGTGTCACTGAGCTATCTCTCCAGCTCTATTACTATTGAATTTTAAGAATAGTTGTGATACCTTGTATTTATTATTCAGTAGTCTTATTATCTCTTGTTTATTTTGTGGCATTTACCACAGGTTCAATGGGGAACTCTATTGCTCTTTCCAGGGCCCTCCATGCAGGGTGATAATTATTTAAAGAAAAAAAACAACTTAGGAAGAATAAACCAGCACATGAAGCAAAGAACTTAGGAAAAGACAACTTCCTAAATTTTGATTCTGGTGGTCTTTGTTTGTCTCATTGTAATGTTTCCATGACTCTTGGATAGTGGAACTTTTAAATGTTTGGGGATTGCCTTACATTAGAATGCTGGTTTTCATGGGGTTATCTGACATATGTAGCGGATGAGTTATCAAGAATAATTAGGAGTTGGGGACTTGGGAGTTCTGGAGACAAGATTTCAGACAAATTAGCTTGGAATTGCTAGCGCTTCTCTGCTGCAAATGGGTGTGGTCTTCCACCTAGTAGGGTCCTCACCAGAGGCAGCCTGAGGCATAGCTTAGCCAGTCAGCCATTTCGAGAGTGTGCTCCCGAGTACCAAGGAGCCACCGGCCAGACTGGAGCAAGAAGGCTCCACAACTGCCTGTTCTCTGTGGCTTTGCTCTCGTGGGAGGTGGCAGGTAAAATGTAAAACAGTGGAAGGATGAAAGTTCACACGAGTGTAGAGGATTAGAGAGGCTGCAGAAGGTTTTGTGGAGCAGAGGCTTCCCGAGGCAGGCTTGGAGGAGCAGGTCCCACAAGAGGAGTTGTGAATTGGAGGAAGGGCATCAGGTGCTGGGGCAAGGAGATGCAGAGCTGACCTGAGTGTGGTCCCTTCGGGGACAGTGAGGAGCTTTCTGTCCAGCAGAGGCTGTAGATAGTAGCCGAGGCGGGTCTGAAGGTCCTGATAAGCTAAACACATAAGGAGAGGCCCAGCGGGAAAGGATGCTAACCGGAGGAGGCTGGAGGGCAAGCTGCTGTGACTGTGGCCTTAGAGGAGGTGGAGGTGGGCAGGATGGATAGGGCAAAGGACCCCTGAGGGCACGCATGGACAGTGAGTCTTTAGGTAATGCAAACATCTAGCACTGAAGGCCTGGAGCACAGCAATGAGAAGGGAAAGAAGAGAGGTAAGCAAGATTCAGGAAGGAAATCAACAAGGCACAAATAAGCAAGGCTTCTCTCAAACCAGGAAGAGGGTTCCAAAGGTCCTTTCTAACATACTCTGTGACCTAAAGCTACCCTACGCCTTATGATCTCTTTCAGGAAACTCTGACGGAAATCTAAATAAGAAAGGCAATAGAAGTGAAATCATTCTATGATCCCTCCCTCTTGGACAAAGTCCAGCTTGATCACAGAGTGGTTGATAGTCAACATGAAACCACAGATTATAGGACAGAAAACCAAAATTATATTGTGGATAATCATACACTGCACTCATCTGCTTAGAGAACAGCAACTTTTTTCCCGCTTGGTTACTGAGTTGCCGGTACAGAATTGGCCTGTTTTCATAAGGCATGCGCTGTTGACGTGGAACTTTTCAAAGAAATGAAACTGTAAACACAGCAGACTCAAAGCACCATCTAAGTCTTTTTTGTAATTACATGACATGACGAAGGGTAGACGAAATATGTGCTCCCTATGACTTACGTCTTCTCAGGGAAGAGATTCATGCTTTTTCTGCTCGTCTAGCTGTGCAGTTATGTTGCACCAGGTGAAGGTATAAGTGGACAGTTGTGTTTTTGCTTTTATGTTTATCAGAGCTCATTGGAGTTTGTTTAAATTCTTAGCCAAATAAGAGACAGCGAGTGTTCATTGAAAGAGCTAAATGAAATGACCCTGACCAAAGGGTTGATTTCCAAGGCTGAAAAGAGACTGGAGGCAGGACAACCAGGGGGACAGGAGCAAGATGAACCAAGGACAGGACTGGAAGCAGGCAAAGGTTCTCAAAAAGAAGGTAACAGGGGTCCTCGGATGATGGACGGTGCTGGCAGTGGATACCCACCTGTGCAGAGCAGGGGCGGGGGCGGCCGAGTTGCCTCTGAGCACAGAGCTGTGTCCGCGTGCCGCTCACTTTCACTCCCACTCAGGCACTGTATGGAGCAGGAAGCAGGCTTCTCTGTTCGTAGGAGTTCATAGACTCATCAGGTCTTTTCTGCAATGCTTCGCCATGATTTTCCCTTGATCTTTATAAGGCAGTGATACCATCAGCACCCAGCGGAGGCCTGGACTCTCAGTCCTTTCACGGGAAGCATTCCTAGCGTGATAAAAATTCCATACTTGTAGGTGAGCATTCCAAAATGTGCAATTCTGAGTCACACTGACACTCATTCCTTTCAGGTTAGTGAAGCTAATTTGAAGAGGAAGTTTTACAGTTTTAATAACTTCCCATTTATTTCGTTGTCTGCTTATGTATCTCTCTCTATGGGACACACAAACACATGCCTACTTATTTTTACAAGCAGAAAGGTCTTTGGTGCAACTTTGGTCAAGTCAGGTCTCCCCGACCCTAAGGTTTGGTAATTTTCTATCAGACAAAACAATATTTCTGTGACTTTAGGCAAATATTTCATTCCATCTCTCCACCTGTAAAGGTAAAGATAATAATAGCAGTACCAACGTCATATAGTTAGTGTAAGGATTAAGTAATTGGGTTGTGAAGCGTTATGAACCCAGTAGGTACTAATTATTAGATTTATAAGTTATAATTACTTATGTCATTATCATTATTGCTTTTATTATTTTATAATTGTGCAATTTTCAGAACACTTTATATTGACCCCCCCTGGTAAATTTCATGTTAGTTTCATTTTTCCTTCCTGTTTTGACTACTTTTCCTCTTGCTCCTGACATCTGTGGAATTTAACTTTTCATGGGTTACAGACATGACAAACATACCCCCAGTGTCCACCTAAGTGGCCAATAAACTGTTGAACATGATGAATCCTGTTTTGGATGTCTTGTTGCGAGAGTGTTCAATCTTATTTGAAAGATTCCAGGATATGCTTTTCCTTCCAAGTTCTTAGAATTTTAATTGGAGTTTCCAGTTCCTTGACTTTGCACTTCTTCAGAAACAAATCCCATTTATTTTTACCTCGATTCCACCGGTTCCCGTCCTGGCCCTTCCTGTTTCTGTCAGCGGTTTCATGATCAAGCCAAACTCTGACTCACTGTCTGCGCGGCTCCACTCAGGCCCACTCCCGTATGACGCCCTGCAGTTTTTCCTTCTTGGGACTTCTGGCTGCGCTGTTTTCTCTCCTTTCCCCCTACTGTCCGGGTAGGTTCTCATTTCCCCTGTCTTCTATGTTTGTCTGGTTCGGATTCCTCATTTAGTAGAGCAAACAGAGTAATTCCCAAAGTCCCTTTTGGCTGCAGTGCCGTGAGAGCCTTACAGCGCAGAAACCGTGCGTGATCTGTTACGTTCTCCGAGGCTATCATTTTAGCTCAGTACCCTAAGGATATATTCCTTGATGTGTTTAAAAGGATGGCATAGAAGGCTGAGTCCAGTTGCCTGGAACTAGCCATGGGTTCTTACCCCCTCTAAGCCTTGACTGGGAATGAAACCAGATGCACTTTCTTTGCTGGCTTATTGTGAAGATCAAGCAAGACAGTGCGGGCTGAAAGACCCACAATGCACATGCCCCTTGCTTGGTGCTACCAGTGTATAAAACGTCAGCCCAGCAACCAGGACCTCAGCCTACCACTGTGAGCACTCGTTGCTGCCTCTCTTCCTCCTCCACTGATGGGTCCAACGTGCTCTAGGTCAGGCATCCACAGAGCAGGGAGCTGCAGAGAGGAGGCCCACAAGCATGGCAGACATGCGATGCACCTCCCGGCCGCTCTGACCATCCGCTTCCCGCTGCCTACCTGTGTTCTGTCCCCTGAGAATTCGATTAGCTTCCCCTGGTGTGTCACCCTGATGGATGATGTAGTCACAGCAACTAGAGGAGTGCTCCTTCTCCTTGCGGGAAAACCATGTAGAACGCGCATTACAAGAAGTTTCGGGGCCAGGGAGATAGCTCAGTAGCATAAGTGCTTGCCTGGCAAGCACAAGGGAGTGAGTTCAATCCCTGGTTTCAAAAAAAAAAAGTTTTCTTTTTGTATTTTTAAAGAGAACTAAAAAATAGAAAAAAAAAAAAAAAAAGAAATGATACCAAATTTCACTAAACATAATAATAGGAACTCGACTATGTTGTTATATTGTATATTGTTATCTTCAAATTAGTTATTAAGATTTCAAGATATAAGCATACAAAATTGCTCAAAAAGTTATAAAAACTTAAAAAGGAAGGGCCAGTCAGATAGCTCAGTGGATTAAAGCACCTGCTTAGGTAGACACAGGGACGGGGTTTGAGCCCCCTGGAGTGCCATGCTGGACCCACCCCTGGGGCACTCTGAGACAGCAATTGAGAGTGGGTGTGGTGGTGTGCGCCTGTAATCTCAGCACTTGGGAGGCTGAAAACAGGAGAATCAATACTAGTCCAATCTGTGTAATGAGACCATGTAGACTCCATAGATCTTTACTAAAATATAAAAAAATTAAAAAGGAGAGAGAAGAAATTACACATGAA